GGGTCGGTAGGCCAAAAATGGATTTCTTAAAAAGTAACAAAGTGGGGACCCTTTGGGTCGGCAGGGGGTCGAATCCCTGAGGGGGGGGGGGGGGTTTGGGGGAGCGTCCGCCCCCCCTAAATCCGTCCCTGGTTATTAGTATGAACTCTTTTTTTCCAGCATAAGTCGCAAATAATATTATTGCGAAGTGTCATTCTGATCAAATAATTGGTCCTTATAATTGGTGTGTGTCACTTGAGAAATTTTGTAGACTCATCGTTTTACTCATTCAGTTTTTCCCAGTAGCGTTATCGGTCATATTTTTCCGTGCATGCGAAGTGCAACTTCGTCTCTGTGTGGAAAGGTATGCAAAGGAGGGGGCCTTAAACCTGTTTTCTAAAGTTTGTTTGTTACGCTTGCGATAAGCAAACGTTATCAAACTGGAATCTGGACTTTTTTCTAACTAACAACTAGTTTAACAAAATCACTTGAATCATTTCTGCAGCATTCAATTCTGCAGCAACCAAACATGCTCAATTTCATGAAAACTCAATTTTAACTACTGGCTGAGTACTAGTTCCTACAGGGTAGTTTCAGGGGGGACTTGAAACTTTTGACAGTTTTTTTTTACAAAGTAAGGTTTTTTCGGCTCAACTAGTGTCTGCTCAAAGATTGTCTGCCTTGTCTCCGCTGCGTTAGTTCGACCAAAAATTACCCTTCCATATCTGAGATTTGGGGTTCAAGCCAAAGAGCGGGCTGTAGGAAGCTCCTTTGCATATGCGACTACGCCCAATTTTAAAAAAAAAAAAAACAAATTATGGCCCTCGGAAAAGTTTTGATTTTTTGACCGGTTTTTAAAAGTTATTGACTTTTCTCGAGAACTACTCGGCCCAACCTAGGTTTTTGAGTTCAATAGAAATAACAGATTGGTTGAATCTCTTGTACATAGCGGCTACGACCAGTTTCTTAAAACGAAAAGTTGTGGTTCTCGGAAATATCAGCTCTCTGATTTGTTGACCGTTTTGGTCTTTTTCTCTACAACTATCCTCCGAAAACTGATATCATAGGTTTAATCGACCCAACAGGTTTTTAAAAGCTGAACTGTACAAACTGCTACGCCCAGTTTCTGCTAGAAAAATTTATAGCCTTTAAACAAGTGAAAATTTCGAAAATTTGTCAGTTTGGAAGTTTTTTAGACTCGAAAATTACTTGCCAATTTTCAGATTAAGTGTTCAATCGAGAAAGAGGGTTTGGGAATCTTCCCTTCTTTACCGGTCACGACCTGCGTTCAGCAGAAAAAACTTACTGATTTTTTATTTTTGACTATTTTATAGAAAATTTTTGAATTTTCTTAAAAATTACCTTTTCGAATCCGATACGAATTTTTCAATCGAAAGAAGCGTTTGCGTGAATTTTTCCTGCAGAAGCGGCTACTCCTTAATTGTGTGTAAAAAGGCTCGGTCTTTGGGAAAATTCCAAAATCTCAAAAATGTGCACTCTTCTCACTTTAGTTGAGAAACAACTAAGGTTTTGGGCAAAGTCTAATTTTTGAAATTACCCATTTCGTCCCGCATCCGTATAACAAATTCCAAAAATGATTAAATAGTTACCTCCAGCTTTAGCTGAGCACTAGGTGTCTTTCATCAAGAGATACGTACATTTTGGTTCACCTAGTTTTTTCAACGTTTTTCTTTTTTTTTTCGACTCATTTTCATGCTTTTTATGATTGTGTTCTATCGCAAGTGGCGCGAAGCGCCGCTTCGCTTCTGCGTTAGTTTGTCAATTTTGTAATTCAGCAAGAGTCCTCCCAAGATTTTCAGCATAGATTTTGTTGTAGCTGTAAACATAAAGCTCACAATATTTTTGATAAAGTGTTGTCACAAATTGTATTGCAAAAAAACTTAAAGCAAGAAATGTACTATTTTCCAGCTGGTAAGGTAACGTTTAACCAAGTCTTTTTTGGTCGATATTATGTTTTGATGGGTTATATCACCATCTATGGGGAGTTTGGACATCTACAAAACATCTGAGGCGTCTGCTCCGAAGGACGTTGATAATGTCACAAAGCCGAAATTACCAAGAAGTTGTCATGGGTCATGAACACCGGGCTCAACGCTGCAGAGCCAAAAGACATGAACACCGAGATTAACGCCGCGAAGCCAGCGGACCATTCCACGGTCATTTTGTCGGAGTCAATGCAGATGTGATACGTTGAAGTTTCAGTTCCGCGCAGCATCGTTGATCGCACGCCAGAAAAGCATAAGTACTCATAAGTACATGAGAAGAGCAAGTATCTGCCTTTAGTTGTGTGACAGGGCCTGTAGGATGAGGATGAAGAGATTTAGACGAAGAACCGAGCCCTGGTCTACACCAATACCCACTATACTGACTGTTCAGTCGAACGCGACTCCGAACATTACAGTACATACCCTGGACGACCCGCGCTGTCCGTTCTTCGACACCGAGAGTTGGAAGGTTCAGAGATCCACAAACTTCATGGCGTTGTCAGTTAGTTTCTTATTTCGATCGTTGCGACGGTTTAGGTGTCCACATCAATGGGCAACCGGGGTTGGAACCTCAGAATCTCGAATTATGGCAACAGAATAATGCATATGGTCAAAGAAAAGCTCCTTGCCAGCTGCGGGCAAGCTAGATTGGGGAGTATAATCTGAGACGAGAGTGATGATTCTGTCTGAGATACGCTCGCTGTCTTTCAATAAAGTTGTCTACTTCGCTTTAAGCAAGGAGCACACCGGATCCGCCAAGATCTGAGTCCTTCAATCAGTGGTAGAAGCGGTACTTGTCGCCGTTACCTTTCAAGGTACGGACCTTAATAGCGGTCACACCGCAAATGTCAACTCTCCTCCTTGAAAAAGCCAGCAGCATTTGAGCACTCCTAATTTTCAGAGTACACAATTCCAATTGGCAACACAACTTACTCATGGCGAAAAAATTGGTGTCCAGAAAACTTGAATGGAGGAAATTTACGACAGACTGCTGAGTTTCAACCTGATTCCATTGTCATTTTGAAGCTATTTTTAGCCAGAACTACCTCTCTCTTGTAGTTTTGACGCAACTCAATGGGTCCCTCATTTTTTCATTGAGTTTTTAATCATAAGTTATGGTGGTCGGATTGTTCTTCTGTGCAAAAACTGTCGAATCATCTGTTAGCTATCTTGGTCACTTTTAAACTAATTTTTGATTATTAAAACATTTTTGGCTTTTTCATTTTGCGCATTCTAAGTTGCTATTGGCTGAATTGCATTTTGCATTAATTTACGGCTGTAGTTGCAATGAGCCCTTTTCTCAGATTTGAGTTTTGATTTTCAGTCTATTTAAAAACAAGTAGTTTTATGGAATTGATTTTTTGTGTCTAATTATACCCAGTATTTTTTGCCAATTTGCCACCAAATAGTACCTTGTTGAGTAGTTGACTATAATGTTGTAAAATGTTTTCGCGCTATAAAGTTTTAAGGGAATTATTTGAGGTTCTTTAATACTTTTCCTTGGCGACCTTCGACCTGTTTTTTCCATCTGATAGTTTCCTTTTCATGACCTTTGTTTGTCACCAAGTTTAATGATTGAATATATTACTTAGGGTAAAAAGACATCGAATACTTGCATCACAGGGATTAAGACTGCCAATGTGCAATTTGCTGATTGACAGAACACTCTAGAACGCCTTACAAAAGCGAAATTTGCGAATTGAACAAAAATAAAAGTTCAATACATCAAGAGGAAATACAGTCGGTACTTCTAGTTCGAAAGTATTTAATAGATCAACCGTTGTTAAAACAAGTGAAGGTAGTCCAGGATTTATGCAGAAAACCACAATTAAGAATCTAGGGCTACCACTTAGGTTTCGGAAATTACTAAAGTGTTTTTAAAAATTCACAGCGTACATACATATATTAAGCCATGCAAAAGAAATAGGGTATACTAGTTACGCTTGCGAGTAGCCAGCGTTATTAAACCGGAATATAGACTTTTTTCGGGTTAACAACTTATTTCACAAAATCACTTGTATCTTGGTTCATATTTAATTCAAATTTCTGTGTACCCAGCATTTAGCCTGGAGGTGAAGAATACGTCTGGGATGGTAAAGGTCGTGGGTTCGAATCTGAATCTGAGCAGGAACTTTTCAAACTTGATATGTTCCTTCCCAAAAAAAACGTCGGCTTGTAGTTTGTCTGTTTATGTATTGTTGGCTTAGTTGCCACATCGTAGAATTGATTTTTTTGTCCACAATTTTCAATGTAGTCAGGGGCGGATTTGGGGGGGGGGAGTGACGCCCTCTCCCCTTTGGTACTTTTTAAGCAATCCATTTTTGACCGACCGACCATAAAATTTTTCTAAAGGCGCCTGTGGCGCCAATATATACTAACTTTGAAGGAGAGCGCGCGCCAAAATACCGCGATTTTTTTGTCAATTTTTCCAAAAAGTCCCTAAAACGGCTTTTTGGCCTGTTTTTTCAAAAATTTGACTGCGGCGCAGAAAATTACCAAAACAACGTCTTTTTAGTGCTTTAAGAGAGCTCGGAAAATCAATTTTGTCAACCTAAAAAAAAGGGAGTCAAATTTTCGAAAAATTTTTGAAAATCTGCCCCCCTCGAGAAAATTCTAAATCCGCCCCTGAATGTAGTTGCTTTCAGTGTTTTGAATGACTCCTGCAATTTTAAATTTTACTAGCCTTGACTTCCTATTTTTTGCTGTTTTTTTCGCTTAAAAAGTTTATTCGGTTTAAATGATTGCGGCTTATATTGTATCGGCTTAGTGACCTTAACCAAAGGAAGCATAAGTTTCATGCTTCATTTCGGATCGCACAAAGTGCGAAAATTTTTAGAATAGAATTTATAGTTCAAAGTTTTTCTTTACAACAATTATATTTTCAGTTCAATGGGAAATTTAAGTTTCGTCAGCTCAGTTGCCGCTTGTTATTTTTTCAGTTTTTATTAATTGCCGTCAGTTGTGGTTGTGTACGTGTTTTCCGCATATAGTACATTGATTAGTATTAGCGAAGCGTGGTTGAATATTGCTGTTACATACGTACATTGCAATTGTTACCTGCGTTTTAACCCTTTTTTGGTTTGCTTGTGAAATGGTTTAGAAGTGGCTATATAAAGAAGGTTATCAGGTAGCCTAATTTTTGTCGGCAAAAGGAGATAGAAACTATTTCCATTCTCATTTCATTATTCCGTATATTCTACTTAAAACCGGCTATGACTAATTCCTATCTTTGTGTTAAGAAGTAAGCAATCGTTTCACATGTCAACAAATTCTGCCAATACTTAACAATTTTGCGGCCGAAAAACTTAATTATTTGCAATTTCGAGACAAATCAGTTATTATATCTTCCTACTTTTGATTCAAATGAATGACGCCGTTCGATATTTAATTAAACGGAAGTTTGTCACTTTTATAAAGTGGTGATATTTTTAAGTCGACCATAAAGGCGCTGAAAATTCATCATCGCAAATTACAAGGCTACAATTCAGAAGTTCTGTTTGAATTGAAGTATGGTAATGTATTTGAAATAACAGGCGTATTTAATCTGTTATTTAATTCTGCAGTCTCTTCTTTTGAAGAGTCACCTTTGACCTGCGAACTTTGTATTCAAAAGAGCGCCTCCAACTAAACCAACCGAAAAGTCTGTTGTGTTGAACTTGTAACTCGAATTGATGCGACCTGAAAGACTGTGTTATAGTTGGCGAAATTTGCTCTTGATATCTCTAATTAATCCTTTGTTCATATCTTAACACTTTTTGTCTTCAAACGCAGAGTTGACGAAGTTTTGCTTTTGATCTTGTTCTATTCTGGGCGAAGAGCTTGAAAAAATAACCTTGGAGGAATTTCTGTAAACAGAGACGATCGATTTAGTGAACTTCTACTTAAAGCAGTGAGACAAAAAATGCTTTATTAGAATCACAATCGTGCATTACAGTTCAACTGATTTTTACCGCCCAGTCAGCCTACCCATTCGATTTGGACCATTTACAACCAGAAACTAGCAAGAAGCGTCTGTTGTTCCTGCTCATAACATTGTGTTGTCTGTTCGATTACTGGGACGTCTGCTAGCTGATCTCGGTTCTCTTCAATTTCTGCACTTTGGGCAGAAAAAACTCGAAAAGTGGTCAGGAGAATCAATAGAGCACATCACGTGGCTAATTATTTGTGACACGTGATCTGATCTGGTCATCTGAGAGCCAAAAGGGAGGGGATGCTAATTGTGATGCCCCCCTTGAGCTCCAACCCGCGAGGGGGGCACAGTGCCATCCGCCGATCATCCATCGATCCCATCGACATCGAACTACGCATTGCAGGTCAGTCAGTGTATATTTGATCAATAACTTTTTCAAACTTAAGAATCCGATGGTAACCTTGAAAACTGTACACGCGTGCGAGTTTCGAACATGCAACCATATGATTGCTAGCTACCTTCACTGCCTCGTGTGCCAGAATGTCACATTCGCCACTAATTCCTCAATTTTTTGATAATATGTCTGGTTTGAATCAGGTGTATTTTTTAAAATGCAATGTATATGAAAGGATGAAGGACCCGCAATCCTTTTCCTGGCGTTATTTAACTGTACCGATGTTCTCGAGTTGGAGTGATTTCCTGTTTTCATTTCTGACACGCGTTTATTGAATATTACTTGAAGGCATTTTTTGCGCATCTAACTGGTTGTATGTATGATATGATAGAATTGTAAAGGAGAGTGATAATATTTCTTTGAAGGGCTTTTGAAACAACAGTTCTTGGGTTTTTTTTCTGTGTTTTTCATATGATTGCTGTTTTTTTTATTTAGGTAGACTAAATTAGCTTAAGGTTCAATTTTTTCGTTTTTTTTGTTGTTTACACAAGAAAAGCTTGTGTTATTAGCAGGGGCGGATCTAGGATTTTCTCGAGGGGGGGGGGCGCATTTTCAAAAAAAAAATCGAAAATTTTGACGACCTTTTTTTTTAGGTCGACCACATTGATTTTCCGAGCTCTCCTAGAGCACTAAAAAGCCGTTTTTGGGCACTTTTTATAAAATGTTGACAAAAAAAATCGCGTTTTTTTTGGCGCGCGCACCCCCTCAAAGTTAGTATATATTGGCGCCTTAGAAAATTTTAGGGTCGGTAGGCCAAAAATGGATTTCTTAAAAAGTAACAAAGTGGGGACCCTTTGGGTCGGCAGGGGGTCGAATCCCTGAGGGGGGGGGGGGGGGGGGTTTGGGGGAGCGTCCGCCCCCCTAAATCCGTCCCTGGTTATTAGTATGAACTCTTTTTTTCCAGCATAAGTCGCAAATAATATTATTGCGAAGTGTCATTCTGATCAAATAATTGGTCCTTATAATTGGTGTGTGTCACTTGAGAAATTTTGTAGACTCATCGTTTTACTCATTCAGTTTTTCCCAGTAGCGTTATCGGTCATATTTTTCCGTGCATGCGAAGTGCAACTTCGTCTCTGTGTGGAAAGGTATGCAAAGGAGGGGGCCTTAAACCTGTTTTCTAAAGTTTGTTTGTTACGCTTGCGATAAGCAAACGTTATCAAACTGGAATCTGGACTTTTTTCTAACTAACAACTAGTTTAACAAAATCACTTGAATCATTTCTGCAGCATTCAATTCTGCAGCAACCAAACATGCTCAATTTCATGAAAACTCAATTTTAACTACTGGCTGAGTACTAGTTCCTACAGGGTAGTTTCAGGGGGGACTTGAAACTTTTGACAGTTTTTTTTTACAAAGTAAGGTTTTTTCGGCTCAACTAGTGTCTGCTCAAAGATTGTCTGCCTTGTCTCCGCTGCGTTAGTTCGACCAAAAATTACCCTTCCATATCTGAGATTTGGGGTTCAAGCCAAAGAGCGGGCTGTAGGAAGCTCCTTTGCATATGCGACTACGCCCAATTTAAAAAAAAAAAAAAAAATTATGGCCCTCGGAAAAGTTTTGATTTTTTGACCGGTTTTTAAAAGTTATTGACTTTTCTCGAGAACTACTCGGCCCAACCTAGGTTTTTGAGTTCAATAGAAATAACAGATTGGTTGAATCTCTTGTACATAGCGGCTACGACCAGTTTTTTAAAACGAAAAGTTGTGGTTCTCGGAAATATCAGCTCTCTGATTTGTTGACGGTTTTGGTCTTTTTCTCTACAACTATCCTCCGAAAACTGATATCATAGGTTTAATCGACCCAACAGGTTTTTAAAAGCTGAACTGTACAAACTGCTACGCCCAGTTTCTGCTAGAAAAATTTATAGCCTTTAAACAAGTGAAAATTTCGAAAATTTGTCAGTTTGGAAGTTTTTTAGACTCGAAAATTACTTGCCAATTTTCAGATTAAGTGTTCAATCGAGAAAGAGGGTTTGGGAATCTTCCCTTCTTTACCGGTCACGACCTGCGTTCAGCAGAAAAAACTTACTGATTTTTTATTTTTGACTATTTTATAGAAAATTTTTGAATTTTCTTAAAAATTACCTTTTCGAATCCGATACGAATTTTTCAATCGAAAGAAGCGTTTGCGTGAATTTTTCCTGCAGAAGCGGCTACTCCTTAATTGTGTGTAAAAAGGCTCGGTCTTTGGGAAAATTCCAAAATCTCAAAAATGTGCACTCTTCTCACTTTAGTTGAGAAACAACTAAGGTTTTGGGCAAAGTCTAATTTTTGAAATTACCCATTTCGTCCCGCATCCGTATAACAAATTCCAAAAATGATTAAATAGTTACCTCCAGCTTTAGCTGAGCACTAGGTGTCTTTCATCAAGAGATACGTACATTTTGGTTCACCTAGTTTTTTCAACGTTTTTCTTTTTTTTTTCGACTCATTTTCATGCTTTTTATGATTGTGTTCTATCGCAAGTGGCGCGAAGCGCCGCTTCGCTTCTGCGTTAGTTTGTCAATTTTGTAATTCAGCAAGAGTCCTCCCAAGATTTTCAGCATAGATTTTGTTGTAGCTGTAAACATAAAGCTCACAATATTTTTGATAAAGTGTTGTCACAAATTGTATTGCAAAAAAACTTAAAGCAAGAAATGTACTATTTTCCAGCTGGTAAGGTAACGTTTAACCAAGTCTTTTTTGGTCGATATTATGTTTTGATGGGTTATATCACCATCTATGGGGAGTTTGGACATCTACAAAACATCTGAGGCGTCTGCTCCGAAGGACGTTGATAATGTCACAAAGCCGAAATTACCAAGAAGTTGTCATGGGTCATGAACACCGGGCTCAACGCTGCAGAGCCAAAAGACATGAACACCGAGATTAACGCCGCGAAGCCAGCGGACCATTCCACGGTCATTTTGTCGGAGTCAATGCAGATGTGATACGTTGAAGTTTCAGTTCCGCGCAGCATCGTTGATCGCACGCCAGAAAAGCATAAGTACTCATAAGTACATGAGAAGAGCAAGTATCTGCCTTTAGTTGTGTGACAGCGCCTGTAGGATGAGGATGAAGAGATTTAGACGAAGAACCGAGCCCTGGTCTACACCAATACCCACTATACTGACTGTTCAGTCGAACGCGACTCCGAACATTACAGTACATACCCTGGACGACCCGCGCTGTCCGTTCTTCGACACCGAGAGTTGGAAGGTTCAGAGATCCACAAACTTCATGGCGTTGTCAGTTAGTTTCTTATTTCGATCGTTGCGACGGTTTAGGTGTCCACATCAATGGGCAACCGGGGTTGGAACCTCAGAATCTCGAATTATGGCAACAGAATAATGCATATGGTCAAAGAAAAGCTCCTTGCCAGCTGCGGGCAAGCTAGATTGGGGAGTATAATCTGAGACGAGAGTGATGATTCTGTCTGAGATACGCTCGCTGTCTTTCAATAAAATTGTCTACTTCGCTTTAAGCAAGGAGCACACCGGATCCGCCAAGATCTGAGTCCTTCAATCAGTGGTAGAAGCGGTACTTGTCGCCGTTACCTTTCAAGGTACGGACCTTAATAGCGGTCACACCGCAAATGTCAACTCTCCTCCTTGAAAAAGCCAGCAGCATTTGAGCACTCCTAATTTTCAGAGTACACATTCCAATTGGCAACACAACTTACTCATGGCGAAAAAATTGGTGTCCAGAAAACTTGAATGGAGGAAATTTACGACAGACTGCTGAGTTTCAACCTGATTCCATTGTCATTTTGAAGCTATTTTTAGCCAGAACTACCTCTCTCTTGTAGTTTTGACGCAACTCAATGGGTCCCTCATTTTTTCATTGAGTTTTTAATCATAAGTTATGGTGGTCGGATTGTTCTTCTGTGCAAAAACTGTCGAATCATCTGTTAGCTATCTTGGTCACTTTTAAACTAATTTTTGATTATTAAAACATTTTTGGCTTTTTCATTTTGCGCATTCTAAGTTGCTATTGGCTGAATTGCATTTTGCATTAATTTACGGCTGTAGTTGCAATGAGCCCTTTTCTCAGATTTGAGTTTTGATTTTCAGTCTATTTAAAAACAAGTAGTTTTATGGAATTGATTTTTTGTGTCTAATTATACCCAGTATTTTTTGCCAATTTGCCACCAAATAGTACCTTGTTGAGTAGTTGACTATAATGTTGTAAAATGTTTTCGCGCTATAAAGTTTTAAGGGAATTATTTGAGGTTCTTTAATACTTTTCCTTGGCGACCTTCGACCTGTTTTTTCCATCTGATAGTTTCCTTTTCATGACCTTTGTTTGTCACCAAGTTTAATGATTGAATATATTACTTAGGGTAAAAAGACATCGAATACTTGCATCACAGGGATTAAGACTGCCAATGTGCAATTTGCTGATTGACAGAACACTCTAGAACGCCTTACAAAAGCGAAATTTGCGAATTGAACAAAAATAAAAGTTCAATACATCAAGAGGAAATACAGTCGGTACTTCTAGTTCGAAAGTATTTAATAGATCAACCGTTGTTAAAACAAGTGAAGGTAGTCCAGGATTTATGCAGAAAACCACAATTAAGAATCTAGGGCTACCACTTAGGTTTCGGAAATTACTAAAGTGTTTTTAAAAATTCACAGCGTACATACATATATTAAGCCATGCAAAAGAAATAGGGTATACTAGTTACGCTTGCGAGTAGCCAGCGTTATTAAACCGGAATATAGACTTTTTTCGGGTTAACAACTTATTTCACAAAATCACTTGTATCTTGGTTCATATTTAATTCAAATTTCTGTGTACCCAGCATTTAGCCTGGAGGTGAAGAATACGTCTGGGATGGTAAAGGTCGTGGGTTCGAATCTGAATCTGAGCAGGAACTTTTCAAACTTGATATGTTCCTTCCCAAAAAAAACGTCGGCTTGTAGTTTGTCTGTTTATGTATTGTTGGCTTAGTTGCCACATCGTAGAATTGATTTTTTTGTCCACAATTTTCAATGTAGTCAGGGGCGGATTTGGGGGGGGGGGGGGGGGGTGACGCCCTCTCCCCTTTGGTACTTTTTAAGCAATCCATTTTTGACCGACCGACCCTAAAATTTTTCTAAAGGCGCCTATGGCGCCAATATATACTAACTTTGAAGGAGAGCGCGCGCCAAAATACCGCGATTTTTTTGTCAATTTTTCCAAAAAGTCCCTAAAACGGCTTTTTGGCCTGTTTTTTCAAAAATTTGACTGCGGCGCAGAAAATTACCAAAACAACGTCTTTTTAGTGCTTTAAGAGAGCTCGGAAAATCAATTTTGTCAACCTAAAAAAAAGGGAGTCAAATTTTCGAAAAATTTTTGAAAATCTGCCCCCCTCGAGAAAATTCTAAATCCGCCCCTGAATGTAGTTGCTTTCAGTGTTTTGAATGACTCCTGCAATTTTAAATTTTACTAGCCTTGACTTCCTATTTTTTGCTGTTTTTTTCGCTTAAAAAGTTTATTCGATTTAAATGATTGCGGCTTATATTGTATCGGCTTAGTGACCTTAACCAAAGGAAGCATAAGTTTCATGCTTCATTTCGGATCGCACAAAGTGCGAAAATTTTTAGAATAGAATTTATAGTTCAAAGTTTTTCTTTACAACAATTATATTTTCAGTTCAATGGGAAATTTAAGTTTCGTCAGCTCAGTTGCCGCTTGTTATTTTTTCAGTTTTTATTAATTGCCGTCAGTTGTGGTTGTGTACGTGTTTTCCGCATATAGTACATGATTCCAGACAACATTTTGAAGTTGTTTTTTTTTATAAATTTTTTTGTACTGAAGTGTTTTCTGTTCTGTATGCTAGCTTGCTCTACTATTTTTATGTTATATCGCAAGTAGTGCGAACCTCCTTTTTGACTCTGTGTATCAATACCTGTTTTAAAAATTCATAAGGTTGAATTTTTTCCGCTCTTTTTTTTCAGATTTGGGAGCAAAAGGAATTCAAACGAAATTTAATGGTTGTTTTGAAGCGAATTAACTGTCCGGTAATGTTCGCCCGATGGCTTGAGAACTTCTGTTCGGTCGGATTAATAGTGACCAATTCATTCAGTATCATTCTTACAGTGTCCGAAAAATAAGACAACAGCTGCTAAGAAAAAATTTTTTCCGAAGCATGACAAAGACAAGACAATTGTTCTCGCCGTTTAAGTTGAAATATTCTGGGGGATATCTTTAACTACTTCTCACCTTTTGAGGTGCAGTGGGCACCCTTGCAAACGTGTAAAAGTTGGGAGGGGGAGTTCGTTACTAGGTAAAAAGTAAAGGTGCAAACAGGGAAATAGCTAAAAATGTATCCGATTTGCATGACGCATGCCTAGTTTTTCAGCAACTTGTAACCAATCAAAGGAGTTCAAAGTTATTTAGTCTTCTTAATGTCTTGTCTTCTGATTTAACTAGCGTGCATTCGTCATTTTAAAGCACCCTAGGCGACTTTAAGACTAGGTTTAGGGAAAATCCTATGCGGATAAGAGTCAATAAAATGTTCATTTTAACTGACTGATGAATAGTTTTCCTGGAATCAAAGGGATTGAAGGTTTTTTGAAGACAGGCTTATGCAAGGGAGATTAAATTGCAATCTACCCAAGTACATTAAGGTCGTCTGCATTTAGAAGAACTGGAATCGGATGGATAATTGTTTCGATTATTGGTCATCTACTTAAGGTAGAGATGCAAGTAAGGAATCATTAGCTCTGGTCATCATTCCAATGTGTTAATCACCAATATAGTCTAGAATTTGTGCCTGTACAAGACAGTCCTTGATTGTACCGTAGACATTTACCCTATGTATGAAATCCAGTTTGAAGTATTAGTTTTGAAAAGTAATGTTTTTCTATTCTTTTTATTGTGACTCTAATTGAAAGATCTTTCTCGTTGAAGACAGTTCTTCTTGAAAGTAGGTTACTGGAACCTTTTGGAGTGCAACTTGTTGCACAACTTGTTCTATTTTTAAAAGTCTAGGCTTCTGTCTCAGGAATAAACTGTGTTAGATTGAACCATTAGACACTGTCTTATCGATTTGATTGATATCTGAACAGATTGTCTTTTCACGTGGAAATTGACCGGATCAATTTTTGTTTGAAGTAATATCGCGAACTACTCAGGTTTTACGGCGACTTCATGCAAGACTAAGGTTACCGATTACGTGGTGTGCTGTCTGTAAACAGGCCTCTCAATAAAGGCCTGTTTACTTGGTGTGCTGTCTCTGTAAACAGACCAGTAAGCAGGCATTTTTGACTTCACTGAATTATCTGATTGGCCGAACACATTTTGTCTCGAAAATTTGAATCGAGCTGCAAAATTATTAAATTTATTGTTTCGACTTTCGAAGAAAGTGACGGAATATTGGTGCTCGGGTGCTCGGGGTGGTTTTTTCTCCAGACAAATTTCGACTTTTTAACTATCAATTTCTGATAGAATTTTTGAATATCATTCGAAAGATATTGTTGTTTTGAGCTCAAATTTAGAAAGATATTTTAGCTGTGATCATTTTTCGTGAACTTTAAAGGGTTGAAAGATTGCGAATTCGGGAAAATTAACGCTTGATGTATTTCGTGCTACTAACGCATAAGCGGCGGTTTAATCCGTCTTAGAAATCGTTCCAAATTGGTTGAAAGAAGCTTGTTTGCCATAATTGATTTGTTAAAAGGAGCGAAATCTATCCTTTTGTACTTTATATGGCGTGTGGGGTGTTGACTTTCAAAAAAAATTCAAATTTTAGAAAATTATTTTTTTACTTTCGTTTTTGTTACATTTAACTTTTTAATGTTATTACTGCTCCATAAACCTTAAAACGCAGTCGGAACATTCAAGGCTTCGCCCTGATACCAGCAGTCTGGTCTGTTTTTAATATCGCACACAGCCTAGAAAAAGAGCGTAAAAACTATTACACAACAACGAACCAATTCTTCAAGTTGACGCTTGATAGGAACACTTTATCGGTAGACCACTGAGAGATGAACATTTTGAGAAAAGAATAATTCTAAAAAATCAAATGAGTGAAAGTGAAATCAGGAACTAGCATGAATAGTGTTTTGGGTTGAATGATTGGCTTCTGAAGATCAATCATTTGTACTTCTTTTAGCAATAAACGTGTTGCAAAAACAAGATGAGGTGGACGACAAATCTCACGCTGCCTCAACTACCCGTGGGTCTCCGACAGGGACTAGCTACACGGGGCGTCTAGTGCCCCACTTTCCTGGAGAAGACTTCCCCGACCCCCTCACAGCACTAACTGCACTGGAGACACAATCCATGTATGTTGTGAAATGCAATCATTTTTGGCTAAGTTAGTACATAATGTTTAATGTTCAACCAGCAGTGCTATATCGTGTCCGCGTTATGTCAAAACTGGATGTTTTAGTGAATTTCTTCTTATTCATGTTGAAAGTTTCATTATAAACTGGTGGACCAATTACGTTTGAATGTAGGTATGCGGTGGAGGACTGTGCTAGTTCGTGTGGGGCCACACATGCCTCCATCTGCACCCTGACGCCTACTGGACCTGCGAGGGAGGCACACATGATGCAGCTGCACGCCATGAAGCACTACCCACTCATAGACCAGTTCTACTTTAGCCAGCAAGAGGTCAGTCTCATTCTTCGTAACATGTTGGCTCATTTTGTGAGCGAATCTTTTGTGTTATGCAATTTTGCTAATTTTGCTTTCAAGCGCTCAAAGTTTCGTATAACAAGTTTTGTATCGAGGATGAAGTGCAAATTCCTTGACTCGGAGACCATGTTTCCTTGTTTACGATGATAATCTTGATTTCTCTAGTCTAGTTAAGTATCAATGAACGAATTGAACGCTTTTGTTTAGGTCGCGTTTTTTCCCCGTTTTTTAAAGCAAAAAGTCGAGCTCACGCTAAAATTTGATTTTTCGCAGTTTGATCAAGGTTTTTTTTGTAGTTCATTTTCTGACAAGAGGGCAAATTACACTCTCCACTAAAGTGCAAATGGCGTGAAAAACGTGAATGATTTCTTTTTCAAAAATGGGTTTCAATTTTCAAAAATCCTAGCGGAATAAAAAACATGCGTTGATCCAATTTTCTCAAACTGCGTTTGTTTGGTCATACATGTTTCATTCTTAAAAGTTTCTTGAAAATCAATGATCACTTAAGTGATATGTTTTTCCTTGAAAGTTGAAATGTTTCTAAAAATTCAACTGTCTAAAACTCGTTTTTTTTTCGCCTCCTTCAGTTCATTGAAACTTTTCCAACTGTCTGTTGGCTATGCTATGTTTTTGAGGCTGAAACGTGATGCAGCAGAGTTTTAAGAAACGAACTGTCCTGTGATTGCGTTTTGATTTGATGTGTTGTTTTAGTGTTACCTGAACAAAACAATCCTTAAATGGGAATTTGACGTTCTCAAATTGGAGGAGTCTTCTGCCCGTGAGTAATTTTTAACCTGTATCTTGTTTAAACTAGTTCTGTTTGTGGCTCCGACCACTGAAAGATTTATGCCATAGTTCATGTCAATTTGTGTCATAGTTTATGTCAATAAAACATGGAATTAGGTTCGAACCTCACTCTTACCAGAATTCAAACAAATTTTGAAGCTTCATCCAATCATGTATCCGATGAAGCAGTTTAAATTTTACTGAACAAAAGGAAAAATCACTTATATAGGTCGTGCTGACTTTTTATTTTTAAAAAAAATTTGATTTCAGGGTTTGACTTTTGAGTCCTAATTTGGCACAATTCATTTCATTTACGCTTAAAGGAGTCAAATCACGCTGTCGACATAAGAAAGAGAAAATAGCGCAAAGAAACATGAACTTTTCATTGGCTATGTTCTTCTATTACACTGATGCTTCTGCTTGCCGCACGCCACGCACAACTCAATTTGTTTCTTTAAATCGCGATGCTATAAAAAAAAGTTTAAGAAAATTATACTTACGATCTATCTTAGCGCCTTATTTACACTATCGATCAGCTTAGTGTATTATTACCAATCTTCTTTTTTTCCAAGCTAGTTCGCAAAGAGAAATGTTTTTATTTATTTGGAAATTTCACTGTAGCATTGGAAATGGCATATCTGTTCTCTGCTTTATTTGTGGCTAGTGTTTGTTGCCTGTTAAGTGTACGTAGCTGAGTGGTTAGTGTGTGAGACTCATAATCTTTAGGTCGCAGGTTCGAAACCGAGATGAAGCTAAATTTTTCCTAATTCGAGGCTTATTTCTAATTTTCTTATTGAACTTTATGCACACTAGCTTCGCCTCTGTATTAAATTGCTGAAATGAAAGCCTGTGAAAAATCAAGTTCAAAAGTTTCGAGAGCAAGTGTGTTTGTAATTGGTAACTAGGTTTTTTCCCGTAGACAACATGTCTTGCAAAATTGTAAGAAATTGATCTTTCTGTTTGAAAAGGCCTTGCATCTCAGAGGCCCTTTTTCACTTTGTCTTAAGGTAAAGCACGTGCCTTCGAAACAAAGTTCTCGGTACGAGTCCCGACCAGACTTTGGTATTCTTCGATATCCTGAAATTGAAGCTTTTTTTTGAGATTAATGAAAGTAGTGAAGACTCTTATATATAGGTCTTGCTGATTTTTTTTTTCAGGAAAAGTCTTGAAAGTCTGTAATAACTACAGATGTGCATTCATACATATTGATGCCTTTATGAATGCACTTAGGTATTTATGAATTTTTGAGGTCAATTGCAATTGACCTGCTGAAAGTGACGTAAATAGTTCTCTCCAAACTTAAACGTGCAAATGGCGCAAAAATTCGTGACTGATTTCTAGTTTCGAAAATGGAATTTAATTTTTAGATTTCCAGCGGAATAAAAACGTTACCTTTTGATCCAGTTTTCTCTGGTTGGAATCATTTTATCTAAAAAGCGCCAATCATAAATTGCTCTAGAAATTCGAAGAGCTCAAAGAGCATCTATTTTTTCTTTGAATTTCGAACGTAGAGATTTTTTCAAGAAAATGTTTCTTATGTTTACTTGCGTTCATTACTCTTTTCCAATCTTCGATTGGCTTTGTTTAGTTTGTCTACTTATTCTTTGTAGGCTTTTTTTTTGAAGCATGGCTTTTCTGTTCGAAGAATCGTTTTCTTTTGCATGGAGCAATTTTAATTCTATTTGAATGTAGTTCACTCATTCTGATTTTGTTCAGTTGCTTTGTTGTTTTTTTTTCGCTTAAGTGGGATCGGGTTATGGTATATCGACTTTACTTTGCGTTGCTTGAAGGTCAAAGGTATCCCTGATATTTTGTTTTCGGCTCAACGGGCGAGTAGCAATTTTTTTTGGCTTGTTTGTCGCTCAGTAACTGATTTCGATTTCTTATTTAACGGCACTCAATATATTTTTTGATAATTCATGCTCAATTTGAATATAATTGGAGACAACTTGTGAAGTTTTTTCCGAGCTTTTCACCTTAAAATGGCATATTTCCAGTTTCTGTCCGCTAGCGTTGCAAAGCTCGGTTTTATCTTTAGTGTTGCAAAGTGTTATCGCAAGTGTTACAAAGCTCGGTTGCATCTTTGTCTAGAAAAAAATCAGTCATATTTGACTTCAATATCACCAGCATTTTTGGCGTCTTCAACTATTATCAGCCTCTTATGAATTCTAGAGGGCTCTAATATTCTCACGGATTGCACCCCCACCACTCAAAATGATTTTTAGTTATATTTTACGACATTAATTTTGGGCCAATCAACTGAAGTTTTTCTGAAGAAGTTTTCGGTGCCAAAATATACAAATTTTTAGGGGAAGCGCTCAACGAAAAAAAAACAAAAGTCGAAATTTTGTTTGAAAATTCCCCCACCCTCTCAAGAAAATTGGAGAATGGCCCCTGTATGAGATGCAAGAACTTGTTGAGAGTGACTTGCAAACGAGGCACGTTAGATATACATACATAATTATCCTTGCGATAAGCAAGGGTATTACAATCGGGTACTAGACTTTTTCCCGTAAACAAGTTTGACTCCTGATGTTCCTTGCTTCATATTGAATTCAAACTTTGTATTGTCTCTTGCTCGCTTAGCCTGGTGCTAACGAATATGCCTGGTACGGCAAATGTCCTGTGTTCGAATCTGACCAGGACCAGTTTTTTTTTAATTTCGGCCTAATATTTGTCTGGTTATGTTTTGTCGTTGCCACATCAGAAATTATTTATTTAAGCTGTAAACAATTTATACTGCAGTTGTTTTTATCATTTTGAAAATCTGGTCGAATCGATATTTGCTTTTCGCGTTGGTTGTAATTTTACCAGCTCGTTTTTGTTAAATTATTTTTTTTGTCTATTTATCGGCTTCATATTCTTCGACTTAATTAATATTGACTTAGTAGCCTCTTATTGAGTCGTTAAGACCGCAAATAAAACTTTTGCGCGTGTGTGTTCTGAGGGTAAAAGGGACTTAACATTTTTATATTTTTAGAATTTTTTTGATTTTTTCGGCTTGAGTTTCTGCTTGGTATTTTCGTTTGGCACTTTGGGGCTCTTTTTTAGCAAACTAGAGTTTTTGTGCTTTTTCGTCCGTCCGTTTATTTTTGTCGGCTTAATTCCCGTAGCTCGATGATTCAGCTTTATTCCAAGTTGCTGTAACTCCCATGCTTGAGACGACAAAGTTCGGGAGTTCGATTCCAGTTGAGACCTGTTTTTTTTTTGCAAATAGAAAATTTTGGCTAATTTAGATTGTCTATCTGCATTTTTTGTCTACTTAGTTCCGCAGAAAACATTTTTTGAAAACTTGGCTTCTTAAAAGAATTCCCAAAGCTCTTTGTAGAGTTTCTAATGGTGCAGGCAATTTCGCTCCGGCTTCTTTTGGCTTTTGTTGCAGTTTTTATTGACAAAAAGGGTTTTTTGAAGTTTTTTTCCGTTTGATTTTAATCATATTCATTCATATTTGTATCGCAAGTGGTGCTAAGCTCAGCTTCGCCTCTGTGTAAATAATTATTCAAGAATTCGTTGTAATCATAGTGATAAATCAGGAGTAGAGTAACACGTGATTCGACACACTAACACCAGAGTATGTGCTTATGTTCCAAATCCTTAAATGGTTATGTTTGATCAATTAAACTTTTTGTTTCGTAATATGGACAGCATGAATTTGCTTCGAACTTTTTGCTTCGTAATATGGACCTACCACAATGCAATATTAGTAACGAAATTTTAATTGGCAGTGGAAACGGTTGAAAGCTCCTGGTGCTTCTGTTTTTAATTGGTATTTCTAAAAATCGCATTGAGCCTGAGGCCACCTAAAATTCAAGTCCAAGGCAATTAATTAGAATTTTTTGCTTGAATGTTTTTATATTTTCCATGCTTATCGGGATCGTATAATACGACTGTATCAGTATCGTGTGGTATGACTGATTTTTAAAAAGAAGTTGTTAGTATTATTAATTGTTATTAAATTATGGGAATTTTGACTTATTTTTATCTATGGCACTTAAAATATATATTTTTTCAATTAGTCAGTTCCTTGAAGGGCCCTTTTCCGTTTACTAATATAATACATCAAGACATTTATCGATAAGAGATTAAATGTTTTGAATAGGAGAGTAAAAGTTGCTCTCCCATTATTATGAATGGTGAATGGCATGGTAGTATTTGAGACGTTATGTTGCAGAGGGAGTGTTGAAGGACGTCGGTCTTTTTATGTTTCGCGGTTTGAGCATTTTTAATGTTTCGCGGTTTGAGTTTTGATTCTTTCTAAGTTTAAAAATGGGATCGACTTGTAATACTAAAAAATGGAATTTAATTATCAGATTACCCATTTAACCTGTTGAAAAAGTCTAGTTCCCGATTTTAAGTGCATTTGGTCTTGCTAGTGACAAAAGAGTAGTTGGTAACCATCGTAATGTGAATTAGCGCATCAAATATTTGGGGAAGATATAATTGTCATAACTATGTATCAAAAACAAAAGTATGATATAATTACACAGTTCAGTGTTTAAAATCTTAAAGAAACTCACAAATCATTCACAGCTTCTTTGAACCGATCAAAGGCTCTTGGTTGGTTGTAAGCTTCTATTCGGTCCTTCTGCTGGTTTATCAGTCCCCGAAATTAAGTTACCTTGTACGCTCTAATTGGGTTCGGGACGTGTTAACGAGTTCATGGTATATTTCCTGAAGTAAATGACTGTCCTTGGTCAAAAATGTTTGCACACCTTATCTTACCAAATTAGAAAAAAAACAAATGTAGTTTTTCATTAGTCTGTATTTACACAAGCGAGTTTGCGAGCAGTGCATTTGTACGAACTTTTTTTTTCTAACCTAACTCGCAAATAAAAGTGTTCATTAAAATTCTTCTCTTATTTGGCTCTTTTGCTATAATCACGATCTGTAGCATTGAAAATTTCATAGAATCTGTTCTCTGCCTTATTTGTGGCTTGTGTTTGTTATTTTTTGTGGCTTGTGTTTGTGATTAAGAGTAATGAACGTAGTGAAGACTCTTATAAAGGTCTTCCTGATTTTTTTGTTTTGATTTTTCGCGGTTTGATTTGTGGTTTCTTTTTAAGTTAAGTGAATTTCTATTGTTAAAAGGAAATCAATTTCCACCATCGAACAGCAAAATTGGAAAGGTCACGAAAAGCGCCCACACGATTGGTTCAATCATTCACAACAAGACAATTCTTTTGATTTTTTTAAAACTGGAATTTTGAGCAATTGTAGGAATTTTTTCATACCGTCTAAAAATTGATGATTTGAGCGGAAAATCAAAAAAATATTGCACTTGCGATAAGTTGAAATGTATCAAAGTTTTTAGCGTTTGAAATGTATCAATTGTATTTAAGCTGTAAACAATTTATACTGCAGTTGTTTTTATCATTTTGAAAATCTGGTCGAATCGATATTTGCTTTTCGCGTTGGTTGTAATTTTACCAGCTCGTTTTTGTTAAATTATTTTTTTTGTCTATTTATCGGCTTCATATTCTTCGACTTAATTAATATTGACTTAGTAGCCTCTTATTGAGTCGTTAAGACCGCAAATAAAACTTTTGCGCGTGTGTGTTCTGAGGGTAAAAGGGACTTAACATTTTTATATTTTTAGAATTTTTTTGATTTTTTCGGCTTGAGTTTCTGCTTGGTATTTTCGTTTGGCACTTTGGGGCTCTTTTTTAGCAAACTAGAGTTTTTGTGCTTTTTCGTCCGTCCGTTTATTTTTGTCGGCTTAATTCCCGTAGCTCGATGATTCAGCTTTATTCCAAGTTGCTGTAACTCCCATGCTTGAGACGACAAAGTTCGGGAGTTCGATTCCAGTTGAGACCTGTTTTTTTTTTGCAAATAGAAAATTTTGGCTAATTTAGATTGTCTATCTGCATTTTTTGTCTACTTAGTTCCGCAGAAAACATTTTTTGAAAACTTGGCTTCTTAAAAGAATTCCCAAAGCTCTTTGTAGAGTTTCTAATGGTGCAGGCAATTTCGCTCCGGCTTCTTTTGGCTTTTGTTGCAGTTTTTATTGACAAAAAGGGTTTTTTGAAGTTTTTTTCCGTTTGATTTTAATCATATTCATTCATATTTGTATCGCAAGTGGTGCTAAGCTCAGCTTCGCCTCTGTGTAAATAATTATTCAAGAATTCGTTGTAATCATAGTGATAAATCAGGAGTAGAGTAACACGTGATTCGACACACTAACACCAGAGTATGTGCTTATGTTCCAAATCCTTAAATGGTTATGTTTGATCAATTAAACTTTTTGTTTCGTAATATGGACAGCATGAATTTGCTTCGAACTTTTTGCTTCGTAATATGGACCTACCACAATGCAATATTAGTAACGAAATTTTAATTGGCAGTGGAAACGGTTGAAAGCTCCTGGTGCTTCTGTTTTTAATTGGTATTTCTAAAAATTGCATTGAGCCTGAGGCCACCTAAAATTCAAGTCCAAGGCAATTAATTAGAATTTTTTGCTTGAATGTTTTTATATTTTCCATGCTTATCGGGATCGTATAATACGACTGTATCAGTATCGTGTGGTATGACTGATTTTTAAAAAGAAGTTGTTAGTATTATTAATTGTTATTAAATTATGGGAATTTTGACTTATTTTTATCTATGGCACTTAAAATATATATTTTTTCAATTAGTCAGTTCCTTGAAGGGCCCTTTTCCGTTTACTAATATAATACATCAAGACATTTATCGATAAGAGATTAAATGTTTTGAATAGGAGAGTAAAAGTTGCTCTCCCATTATTATGAATGGTGAATGGCATGGTAGTATTTGAGACGTTATGTTGCAGAGGGAGTGTTGAAGGACGTCGGTCTGAAGTTGTGCGATGTGTTCGGACTGGTGGACGAGTTTGACCTGTCCCTAGTCTCCCTCCACCAGACATTCCAGCTCATCCAGGCCTCCTACCACAACAATCCCTACCACAATGCCGCACACGCAGCAGATGTAGTACAGGCCGCATGCTGTCTAGTGGCCGAGAAAAAGGTAAAGCCATGGCTTTTTTTGGATCTTAGTTTTTTTGAGCGTAATGAACGTAGCGAGTACTCTCTTCTAGGTCTTGTTGATTTTTGTGTATTTTTTTTCAGGAAAAAGTTTTGATTTATTCGGGCATTTTTAATGTTTCGCGGTTTGAGTTTTGATTCTTTCTAAGTTTAAAAATGGGATCGACTTGTAATACTAAAAAATGGAATTTAATTATCAGATTACCCATTTAACCTGTTGAAAAAGTCTAGTTCCCGATTTTAAGTGCATTTGGTCTTGCTAGTGACAAAAGAGTAGTTGGTAACCATCGTAATGTGAATTAGCGCATCAAATATTTGGGGAAGATATAATTGTCATAACTATGTATCAAAAACAAAAGTATGATATAATTACACAGTTCAGTGTTTAAAATCTTAAAGAAACTCACAAATCATTCACAGCTTCTTTGAACCGATCAAAGGCTCTTGGTTGGTTGTAAGCTTCTATTCGGTCCTTCTGCTGGTTTATCAGTCCCCGAAATTAAGTTACCTTGTACGCTCTAATTGGGTTCGGGACGTGTTAACGAGTTCATGGTATATTTCCTGAAGTAAATGACTGTCCTTGGTCAAAAATGTTTGCACACCTTATCTTACCAAATTAGAAAAAAAACAAATGTAGTTTTTCATTAGTCTGTATTTACACAAGCGAGTTTGCGAGCAGTGCATTTGTACGAACTTTTTTTTTCTAACCTAACTCGCAAATAAAAGTGTTCATTAAAATTCTTCTCTTATTTGGCTCTTTTGCTATAATCACGATCTGTAGCATTGAAAATTTCATAGAATCTGTTCTCTGCCTTATTTGTGGCTTGTGTTTGTTATTTTTTGTGGCTTGTGTTTGTGATTAAGAGTAATGAACGTAGTGAAGACTCTTATAAAGGTCTTCCTGATTTTTTTGTTTTGATTTTTCGCGGTTTGATTTGTGGTTTCTTTTTAAGTTAAGTGAATTTCTATTGTTAAAAGGAAATCAATTTCCACCATCGAACAGCAAAATTGGAAAGGTCGCGAAAAGCGCCCACACGATTGGTTCAATCATTCACAACAAGACAATTCTTTTGATTTTTTTAAAACTGGAATTTTGAGCAATTGTAGGAATTTTTTCATACCGTCTAAAAATTGATGATTTGAGCGGAAAATCAAAAAAATATTGCACTTGCGATAAGTTGAAATGTATCAAAGTTTTTAGCGTTTGAAATGTATCAATTTGATAAAGGCAGAAAAATTAATGAGTACAATGTATCCTCCATTAACGTGTAACTCCCGCAGAATATCAGTCTGAAACCGAAATTATGCAAATTTCATTTGAGACCGGCTTTTCGGTCCAAACAACTCGTTGCTAGGTGATTACACTTGCGAGAGCAAGTGTCTTGCAACCGGGTATTAGCGATTTTTCCCGTAAATCACTTTTCTAACAAATTTTAGTTTTTGTATTGAACCTTGACAACCTCCAGGCTCGCTCCCACTCAGCCTAGATGTAACGTGGTTCGCCTTTGCATCCACGGTCTGGGGTAGGAGTCCCGCCCGGAGCTTGTTTTTTTTCAGTATGTATGAAATTGAATTTGAATTGTCTGACTTTTTTATCTGCTCAAGTTTTGTCGGCCTAGTTGCCACATAAATTCGCCTCAATATTAGAAAATTTGACATATTTTAACGCTTTAAAAGTATTGCGTAAATGTTATAAGACTTCAGAAAATGCTCTCGCCCACACTTAAAAAATTTTGCGACGCTACATCAATAAAAATGTCTGTGGAAATAGCTCAGTCTTCGCTTCTATGAACCTGGTAAACCTTTTCCTCAATTATTCAGCTAATTATGCTATGGAAAATAATGAGGTAGAAAGTCAATGCAAAAGCTGCTGCAAATTTTGTTGCTACTGAAATTAGCAGTCTAGAAATGCTTTGTCAGGTAGTTTTTTTGAAGTCAATAAACTATATCCATAAATTGAGCCACAAATTGGATTAGCTCACAACTTATTGATCGTTTAGAGACTACCTTGAAGCGTCCCTGTGTTAAGATAAGTCACAAATTACGTCCCCGAAATCAATGTCTCAGTCGTTCAAGTCATTAGATTTAAGAACCCCATTACTTGGAAGGTTTTTGTTTTAAAGAGACCGGGATTCATTGGTAGGTTCAGGGGGCGGATCTAGGATTTTCCCGAGGATTTTCCCGGGGGGGGGGGGGGGGGGGGGAGGGGGCGGATTTTCTGAAATGATGCAAATTACTGTGCTATAAAGTAAAAAAAGACTCTCCCACCGCAGAAATAAATGCAAAAAAAAATAATTATCTCTGAATAAATAAGTAGCGCTTCTAGTATAGTACTTGCCCCTTTTAATCTGCAACCATGCAGAGACTTAGCATAGTGGTAAGGCGGTCACTTCGAGATCGTCAGATCGTGTATTCAATCCCCTGCCATGGCAATGATAGAGTGTTAGGACGAGCTCTCACTTGACCTCTAGCTTCAGGTCTACCATAGCCTGACCAGTTACGGCTGCAATAGTGGTGCCATGTGAAAGTTCTAGACGCAAAAAAAAACGGCCTTGAGTTGCAAAAAAAAGAGCTTCGCTCACTTCAACAACTTAGTCTGGAATGTGGGGAAATACGAGAAACGGTCTATGCTTGACAGGCTGGAAAGCCTTTCATAGATCCTCTGCGAACGGTAGAAACCTTAATTATTTTGTATTAAATTTGATTTGTTTTAGATCTCAAAACACATGACGAAACTGGAACACTTGGCCATGATCATGGCTGGTGCGTGTCATGACCTGGACCACCCTGGAGTGAACCAGGCTTTCTTGAAGACCACCAACCACTACCTCACAGAGGCAGCCAAACGATATCCGGTTAGCCAGTCCATTCTCGCTCTTTTTGTAGCCACAATCAACCTTGTTCTTTTTCATTGTTCCTTCGCTAGATATTACTTCTACTTCTAATAACAATGAATGGTTCCTTAAAGTTGTAAATACTTTTCATTTGATCGATCAAGGGCGGTTCTGATCTTCATTTTTTAAAATTGATAATTAAAATTCATGATTTCGTTAGTATATATAATTTGAATACTCAATTTGTGAATTCTGTGAATACCTGGTTGAATTATTTTCATCTTCAAAAATAAAGCGGATTCAATTACAATAGTTTGTTAAATTGCAATTTCAAAAAGTTGTTAAAATATCTTTTCAGTCGGCCTCCTCAGTCCATTCTGTTAGTTACACTTCTGCTACTTGAAACACATTCATTACATTCAGTTAAATGGATTCTCTTTCAAATAAATTTCTGATTTTTGTGATTGCCATTTCTTTCACGTTTTTTTTTCTGAATGCTCTATTTCATTTTGGATCACTCATTTCAATCAGATTGGCTATAGGTCTGATGATCTTACTGTAATGGAAACGAAAAGGTTTGTTTTCTGTGAAAACTGAAAGCAATCACGTGTGTAACGCCTGGGTGATGATAGCTACCAAAATGATGATAGGACCAGAAATGAAAAGTTGGCGTTTGAAACTTATAGTTAAGTAGAAGTATTCAAGGACAGTTTCATGAACTCGATAGCTTATTTTGAAAATTGACGGACTTAACAAAAACATTCACAACTGGTTAAACATGTCGAAATTCATTTGGGTCAAAAACCCTCGATCCACTGTGACTGCTCAGTTTGAGATTTTGTTGCTTTAAATGAAATCATTTTCATTATACTAACTGTCGCCATTTCAGGATAGTGAAAATACAAGCTTGGATGTTGAGAAAGTAAGTCGCATTGGATCTACTGCTCTTTTCCCAGCCCATAAAACGGTTTCTTGTGCCATTTAAAAAAATCACCGCAAACCTTAAAAAAATACTAGCCATGTTTTGTCTGAAGTAACAAATGTATTAGCCTTTTTGAACTGCGGTGCAAACTTTATAAGAAATGGGCGTCTGTTTCTGTGGGTATTTGGTTATTTTCTGCAACTACAATTCGACCTGGCTGGCTCCAATGATGGTATCATTCATGGGAATAGAAAAGCTCCATGGAATAGAGATGTAGATCTAGTGTATCTATGAACAAGACAAGACCTTCTTTTGGTCTGGATGTCTTCTGTTTTACCTGGACTGACTTTGAGTTTTACCTCTCAAGCTAATAAACGTGACTGGATATAGCTTACAATTTTTAAAGCTAACGCTGCTTTGAGTGAATCAAATCAAGTATTTGAATATAGTGGTAATACTCTGACTAACAGTTAAATCTAATTCGAGTTTGTTTGATATCGGTTTATAGGTGGGACTCTGAAAAAATTTGATTCAACAGCTCAATGTCCCGGCTCATAATCAGTCCCTGGATAGACAAGCAGAAATTGCTCTTATAATGCGTTCAGCTTCCACTGACCTTAAAGTGTGGATTTTTTTGACTGACTGAAAACTTGAGCCACAATTTTTTCCTGAAATCTTTCGAATTAAAATAAATAATTTTAATTCAACGTTATGATTTTCATCACTTTGTTAATGTGATACTTCAAATGCTTTCAAACACTTTGTTGTGACCTTAATGTTGGCGAAATTGGAGTTGTTTAATGAAATAACTGATGACAATTGTACGTGTTAATTGTAGAAGTCGAGTAGTGAACAGTTGTCTTCGTCTGACGAGAACGTTATGAGTGTGCTGGAGATCCACCATATTAGACATGCGGCCGCCATATTCGACCAGACTCAGATATTTGCCCATTTTTCACAGGACCAGTACCTGGAACTGCTCAAACTTATCAAGGTTCGCTATATGATCAGCAGTTCTTCACGTGAAATTAGCTGAAAATTAGTATCAACTTCACAGACAAGTTTTCTTAAGATTAGCCTGCTATTTTCATACCTTTGTTCAGACTTAGGCGAGAGTGGTGTCTTAAATTTGAGCCCAATTGGAAGTTTTCTGACCTTTCGATGGGAGAGAAGAAGCTACTAGCGAGCAGCATTAATTTGATCCTTACTGGCGCGGTCGCTTCGCGATATTATGTATAGTTTATATACTTCTCCAAGATTATCCGCAGCGGAATTGGACGTATGAATTTGATGCATAAGCTCAAGTTTGGGGAAGATGTCAATTGTTTGTTTGTGTTAAGGAACTCATCCTAGCCACTGACATGGCTTTTCAAGGCAGGTACATGGAGAAACTGAAGCGGCTGAACAAAGAGTACAACTCTCTGGAGACAGACGAAGAGAGAAGCGCCTTCTTCAAAGTGGAAGACACTAGGCGATTCTACTTACAGGCGAGTTGACATGGTTCATCTAAATTGTGGTGAATTGCCATATCAGAATTATCTAGAGATTCCGGCAGGAATTGATGTATAAACTATGTTGCAGGTCGCTTTTCTTTCGTATCAATAATAAATTCAGAATGTTTTAAAAGTTACTCAGGTTGTTAATAGGGTATGAATGGAAATTTAGTTTGAGCAAAATTTATTTCAGATTTTGATTCGTTAGGATCAGTTATCACGTAACGAAGTGTGCAATTTATTAACATGACCAAACCAGTTTTTTTCTCTCAAAAGCGAAGTGAGAGGTTCAATGTTAAGGCACGGTTGAATGCTCATTTTATGCAGGAATCTCTGCCTTTGGCATGTGGAATTGCACAATGTTTAAAATTAACCTTTTCTAACAAACTGATTTGCTTCAGGTCTCTCTAAAGTGTGCTGACATCTGCAACACATGTCGTCCCTGGGAGGTCAGTCAGAAGTGGTCTCGACGTGTCACCGAAGAGTTCTTCGCACAGGGTGTGTAAAACGTAGAAAAAATATACGAAAGTTATGTAGGCGTCATATTTAACAATATCGAACTCTGACTTCGTTATTTTGAGACAATGTGTAAATTACCTGAGCACTTTTAATGTGATCGTTTTTAAGACTTTCATACCCACTTTGACCAAAAATGCTAGCTATACAGTTTTCATATATGGATAAATGCTACTCATTCACTTTCATGTAATTCCATAAGTACAGAAAATAGCATGAAAGGTCTATGATCACCTTTCTGATCCAACAATATGATCCAAATCGATTTGTTAATTTTTCCCTCTTTTTTCGGCTTATTTCGAGTAGTTTTAAGTGAAATATAATTTTAAGCTCATTTTTTTTGCAATTTTGAGTTTTTGTGCTTTTTCTGACTATCGTTCGTCTGTTTATTTTTGCCTACTTTTTGAAGGTTCCTTTTTCTTCTAAGTTGCTGTAACAGCCATGCTTGCGACAAAGCCCGGCAGTTTGATTCCAGTCGGGACTTTTTTTCAAACTGAATTTTTTTTGCTAATTTAGATTTTGTCTGTACTTATGTTTACCGGCTTAGTTCCGGCAGAAAAGACTTTTTGAAAATTTTGCTTCTTTCTAGCATTTCAAATGCTCCCTTTAATAATTGTATGGTGCAGATATTTTTTTCTGGACCTTTTAGACTTTTGTTTGCAATGTTAGTGTCAAAAACTTTTTTTTTAGTTTTTGATTTTTCTTTTAATTTTATTCACGGTTATTCATTTTGGTATCGCAAGTGCTGCGAAGCTCAGCTTGGCCTCTGTGTTGAATTGTATGATTATAGGTTTTGGTCTATGGATATCAATCCGGGTATATATGTTTTTTAGGAAAAGTTAAAATTTGTTCAGGCTGAAATTTACTTTTTCGCGGTTTTATTTCTGATTTATTTTTAAGTTTAGCTCATTTCTGTTGTTGAAAGGAAGGCAAACTCCACTATCGAACAGCAAAAGGGGTGAAAGTCACGAAAACGTGATCGGCTTTTAGTTTCGAAAATTTGAATTCAATTTCCCAGCGATGAAATTTTTTTATTTATCGAGTTTTATTAAATTGGGTTAATCTATTATCTATTATATATTTAAATGCGGGCTTCACTATCTCGCCATGTTTAAGCTTTTTCAACGTATTATTTTTGCATGTTTAAGCTATATCGTATATTGCAATGGTTAAGAATTTTTTTCGATTTTCCAATTTGATTTTAGTGGTTATTTTACCGATTTTAAATCAAGCAGCCCAATATCAAATTAGGGAATTAAGGGTTGCGAATTTGGCCTCCAATATTGAACGCCCGAATCATTTTAGTTAACGAGAACGAGATTAGACGATTTTTGAGATTTTTTCAAATTTTTTTTTAGAAATTTCAAATAACAAAATAATTTGCAAAACTTGAAGTGCCCAACCTTTTAGTTGGGTACTTTCAGAGCAGTATCAAGGATTGCGAATCTTGCCTCCAAATATGACTGCTCAAATCCTTGTAGTTTTCGAGATATGACGTTTTTTGTCACTTTTTCAAAATTTTCAGAAAATTTTAATAAATTATTTTTCAAAATTTGAAATTCGCAACTTTGTAGTTGGGTGCTGTCAGAGTACTCTAAGGAATTACAAATCTTGCCTCCAAATATGATTGTTCAAATCCTTGTAGTTTTCGAGATATGAGGTTTTTTGTGATTTTTTCAAAAAATTTTCAGAAAACGTATTTTAATTTTTTTCGCAAAATCTGAAATTCCCAACCCTTTTTTTGGGTCCTGTCAGAGTACTCACAAAGATTGAGAATCTTGCCTCCAAATATGACTGCTCACTTCTTTAGAGTTTTCGAGATATGACGTTTTTTTTCTAATTTTTTCAAAAATTTTCAGAAAACTCAAATTATTATTGTTTCTTAAGGATCTGAATTTCCCAACCCCGTAGTTGCGTACTGTCAGAGTACTCTCAAAGATTGCGAATGTTGCCTCCAAATATGACTGCTCAATTCCTTGTAGTTTTCGAGATATGATGTTTTGTGATTTTTTCAAAAATTTTCAGAAAATTTAAATTATTATTGTTTCTTAAGGATCTGAAATTCCCAACCCTGTAGTTGCGTACTGTCAGAGTACTCTCAAAGATTGCGAATCTTGCCTCCAAATATGACTGCTCAATTCCTTGTAGTTTTCGAGATATGACGTTTTGTGATTTTTTCAGAAAATTTCTGAAAATTGAAATTATTATTTTTTAAGAATCTGAAATTCTCAACCCTGTAGTTGGGTCCTGTCAGAGTACTCTCAAAGATTGCGAATCTTGCCTCCAAATATGACTGCTCAATTCTTTGTAGTTTTCGAGATATGACGTTTTTTGTAATTTTTTCAAAATTTTCAGAAAACTCAAATTATTATTGTTTCTTAAGGATCTGAAATTCCCAACCCCGTAGTTGCGTACTGTCAGAGTACTCTCAAAGATTGCGAATGTTGCCTCTGAATATGACTGCTCAATTCCTTGTAGTTTTTGAGATATGATGTTTTGTGATTTTTTCAAAAATTTTCAGAAAATTGAAATTATTATTGTTTCTTAAGGATCTGAAATTCCCAACCCTGTAGTTGCGTACTGTCAGAGTACTCTCAAAGATTGCGAATCTTGCCTCCAAATATGACTGCTCAATTCCTTGTAGTTTTCGAGATATGACGTTTTGTGATTTTTTCAGAAATTTTCTGAAAATTGAAATTATTATTTTTTAAGAATCTGAAATTCTCAACCCTGTAGTTGGGTCCTGTCAGAGTACTCTCAAAGATTGCGAATCTTGCCTCCAAATATGACTGCTCAATTCTTTGTAGTTTTCGAGATATTTTTTTTTTGTAATTTTTTCAAAATTTTCAGAAAACTCAAATTATTATTGTTTCTTAAGGATCTGAAATTCCCAACCCCGTAGTTGCGTACTGTCAGAGTACTCTCAAAGATTGCAAACCTTGCTTCTAATTATGACTGCTCAATTCTTAGTAGTTTTCGAGATGTGACGTTTTTTGTGATTTCAAAAGTTTCAGGAAGTTTAACTTAAATATTTTTCAAAATTTGAAACTCCCAACGCTATAGTTCGGTGTTGTCAGAGTACTCTCAAAGATTGCGAATGTTGCCTCCGAATATGACTGCTCAATTCCTTGTAGTTTTTGAGATATGATGTTTTGTGATTTTTTCAAAAATTTTCAGAAAATTGAAATTTTTATTGTTTTTTTAAGAATCTGAAATTCTCAACCCTGTAGTTGGGTACTGTCAGAGTATTCTCAAAGATTGCGAATCTTGCCTCCAAATATGACTGCTCCATTCTTTGTAGTTTTCGAGATGTGACACTTTTCGTGATTTTTTCAAAAATTTTCAGAAAATTTAAATTATTAGTTTTTAAAGATCTGAAATTCCCAACCATGTAGTTAGATCCTGTCAAAGTACTCTCAAGGATTGCAAACCTTGCTTCTAATTATGACTGCTCAATTCTTAGTAGTTTTCGAGATGTGACGTTTTTTGTGATTTCAAAAATTTCAGGAAGTTTAACTTAAATATTTTTCAAAATTTGAAACTCCCAACGCTATAGTTCGGTGTTGTCAGGGTACTCTAAAGAGTTGCAAATCTTGTCACATGCGGCTGCTAAACGCGTCTGCTCAAGTGCTTTTAGTTTCCGAGATAAGACGTTTTTTTTAAATTTCTTTTTCAGGAAACTTGGGTTTGAAAAAATTCACAAAATTTCGAATTCCTAACCATACAGTAGGGTGCTCTCAGGGACTCTCAGTGTTTGCAAATCTGGCCGCCAAATTTCTCCAGAGGCACATTAAGTTTTCGAGATGACGCTTTTAAAATTGGAATTAAAAAGTTCGAAATCACCAACCCTGTAATTGGGTGCAGTCAGAGCACACTAAAAGTTTGCAGATGTTGTTTCCAATATATGCGGTTTTTAATGAGCTGTCGAAAAATTTCGAAGCACCGGAGGTGCGTTAAACGCTAGTTTTATTTAAAGAAGTGCCAATCATAAAGTGTTCAAAGAGGTTTGAGGCCATCTTTTTTTCTAGATTATCGAAATAAGTCAGTATTTTTTTGTTTACTTGCCTTCATTGACTCTGTTCCAACTTTATGTTGGCTATGTTTAATGAACGTTGTTTTCTTTGCTAGGAGACAAAGAACGAGTGCTCTCTCTACCTATCAATGAAATCAACGATAGATACAGGACTACAATAGAAAAGGTCCAAGTCGGTAAGTAACTTGTTTTTTATCTTAGTTATACGGCATTTTAATGGTTACTTTATATGATTTGGTCATCATATTTAATTATCTAAAAAACTTGAATTGAACAAAAGCCATTATATCTTTCGTTTTTGTGATGATATTACTTGAGAAGCTCTGAGAAGGTTGTTTGAGACTAGGAACTTCATTATCTTCCAGGTGGGATGTTGACCTGCGTGGTTTTTTCAGGGTTTCTGAAGTTCGTGGCTAGACCTCTCTTCGCTGAATGGGACTCAGTGCACTTGAGCGATCTGAGTAAGTCTCTGTTGCGCAACATAGACAACAACTTACTTCAGTGGTCTAGAGTGCAACAGCACCAGGAGAAGTTGCAGACCAGATCATGTATCACGAAGTTATCGCCAATGCCCTCTGATACTGCGTCGGCGACCAGCAAGTCATCGGCACAGCCCATCCTCCCCCCGACACACCACCAACCGGTGCCACACCTCCCACCGATGCCGTCTTCCGAGTCCCTTCACGATCGGCAGTACAAGCCGCACCCACCCGACGGTATGATCATAATGAATTAGAAATGAACACGTTTTAGAGGATTTATTATTGTTTTTGAGGGTTTTTAAATTTGTGTTAAAGAGTTTAAATTTGTTTTTTGGGTTTTTAAATTTGTGTTTAAATTTGGTTTTTAAGTTTGTGTTAAAGGATCTCCATTATTAGACGTTCTCTACTTATCGCGCATTTTTTATGTAATGATTGGCCTCACATATTTGTCGAATTATGTCCTGAAGCTAACCATTTCAGCAATTATTGCTTAAGAATTTTTTCAGCGACCATAATTTTTTCCAGGAATCAGCGAGACAGCCTCGGTTCGACTGGATGTCATCGGAGAAGCGAATGACGAGGAGTCTCCCGAAGATGTTCAGTTAGGCGAATGGGCGCAGCCAAAGCAGAGAAAGCCGAGCATCCCGTGTGCTTTCGTATCCTTAGACCACTCGGTAGCTATTATCAAAGACAATCTACGCCAGCAAGCAGTCGACACAACAGTGGAGCCGAATGCAGAGACATCGTCGCCGAGGCATAAAGGTCTCGGCAAGGAGAAAAAAGTGTCCGCTCTTCCGGAGGCGTCGAGAGAAATAGATTCGTCAAATTCACAACCGCAAGGTACGGATCGAAACGACCACTCGGCAGCTGCGGTAGCGTTTGGATCTCTTCCAATAAACACGACCGGAGAAACTGGCAGTAGAATCGTGGACTTGGACGGCGTAGTTGGGGGAGGTGTTTCTAAACATATCGAATCCAGCAGCGATACTATCGAGCTTCCCTCCCCTTCAGCCCAACAAGGCGAAGACGAAGGAAGACCTGCCGGTTGCTCAGACGATTATGGTGCACGATCTTCTCCGTCATTCAGTGGTTAGTCAACTTTTCCCCTATTCTGATCCTGATTTCAAATTCGATCGATTTGAGTGTCAATGAACACTTATTTAAGTCTTGTAGTTTTTCTTAGGACATTCAAATTTTGTTCACGTTTAATTTTTTGCGATTGACTTTTGATTTCTTTTTCAGATCAATTCAAATTCGTTCGCTAAAAGGAAGGTAGATTCAATGCTTTTAAATCAATGCTCAAAGCCATCAAACTTCTGTTGGCTAAGAATGTTTCCGTAGCTGACGAAAATAGCTGACGACATACCACATCAATGGAATAATTAAATTTTCCTGTGCAAAAGATATCATCGATGTCCCGTATGTTGTCACTATAGACTTGTCAAAACGAAACGAATGTGAGGCTTGTAGTTTTCGATTGCAATAATATCTGAGATGAATTTGATTTTAGTGTACACACAATTCAAACCCCCTAGACCCCAATCGGAGCTGCTCGAGTCAGTTCCGTCCTTATCAGACAAACAGGAGACCCCAAACACCAACCAGATCAACCACTTAGCTCACGTCCAACAACAGCAAGCACTTGAGCCGACAGATTACGAAGCCGAATTATTAGCTAGACTAAAGTACCATCCGTTCGACGCTTCCACAGTAGCTGAAGTGCAGAAATTAACCCCACAGCATAAGCGGCGCATAGAAGAATTGTCCAAGATGGAAAACGTTTCCCGAAAGGTGTCAAAACCACATCATGACCAGACTGCAAGTGTGGTGAAAAGTACAGAAGACGGCAAGGTCCAATCGGAGTCGACTAAAACTGTGATAGGGTCGACTGTTTCGACGAGTGACGGGAATGAGGATCTGACTTCCTACGCAAAGTTGACCAGCCCACCTCCATATCGGTAACTACTGTGCCCATGAGAATTCTTGTGTCTTTTTGTAAAAGCAAATGCTTGTTATAATCCGAGTTCCCTTTTTCAACTCAAGATTTTAGGGTCTTATAAAAGGGTGTAAAACAGAAAGGGTAAAGATATGAGTTGTTCAGTGAAATGGGGTGAAGCGCTGTTGTCTCTTCACTGAAATACACACTTCGAGTTTAGGAAAAGCATCATGCTGACAGTGGATAAGAGTCTGGAGAAGTTGCGAGCAGACCACGCGGCCAAGGGAGCCAAAACAGCCAGGACATCCACTACCTCACAAAGTGCAGCCAACCAATGTGTTAAAGCAACACAGGTACTATTCATAGATTTTGTTGCTGATCGAATTGAGGTAGACGTATGAAATTGAAGTCATTTAAGCTTGGGTTTACTCCATGTGATTCATTCTATTAGAGGAAAGTCATTTAATTAACTTCGAAAATAAATGGGCAAAATTTGAGACTTGAAGAAATGTAAATTTTGTTTGATTGCATTGAAATTGTCTACTATATTCTAAAAATGTGTTGAATAAGATAAAGTTGATATAAATGTTTGAAAATGTATGATGAAATTTGTTTTAAAATGTATCATGTAATGTTTCTACTCTCACTCGCTCAGGTGACAGTGTACGAGTCAGCGACTCTTCACAGTCCACGACCGACATCCACTCACCAACATCAGCAGAAGCAGAAGCAGCCGAATCTGTTCACCCGACTCACGACACCTTCCTCCACCGCCTCCCCCTCTTCTCGCCCTCCTCACCGCACGATTTCGACTAAATCAGAGAACCTCTTGCCGTCTTCCGACTCGCCACTCCAATTCGAATCAATTACTCCAGGTAATCAGCAGCAATCATTTCCAACTTAATTGGACAGCAATCTTCCTTTTTTGAACAAATTTTGCAAGCAAATTAGAGCTTTCAGCAGACACGAAATGAAGAGCAACGACTAATTGATTCTTGCAAGTTGCTTGTCAAACAGGTTTTATTAGAAAGATTAGGAGGTATCATTTTCTGTACACGTTACGAGTTTTGACAGTTAAGATTGAATTGTTTTGCACAGCTCAACGATCAACACCTGTGTCGTTTTTTAACTTGGTCTAATTTACCAAACTCGAAAATGTTCTTTTGTGTAGCCTCAGTTGTGTGGTCCGTTATAGGTTACTCCTCTAGTTCCATGGCTTCCCCGGAGATGCCGCGAAGCAAGATCATCCAGTCTCGTAGCAACTTCTTCAAGTCACTCCTGAAATCCTCCGCTCCCGAAATGAACCACCTCGGAGGGTCATCCATTCTAACATCATCACACTCGCCCCGCTCGGCCGAAATCGCATCATCATCTTCGCCCTTCAACTTCCCAGAAGGGACCTCCTTTTCGCCCCTAATTGGTGATAGTTCCATTAGTGGTGGCAGTACAGTGGTATTCAAATCAGCAGGGTCTCCGGCCTCGAAGGACTTGGACGTTTCGGACACCGGGCCGTCTAAGCCAAGAAAGGTGAGTAACTTTTTAAATTGAAGTTGACTCATTGTCGAAAAAATGTCAGTCCATTTTCCATGTTTGCCGATAAACTATACTAAGTTTGATTAGAGACTAAAGAAATTTAGTAAAAGTTTATTTCTAATAAGATTTTTTCACTAAACACATATCAGCAGTTGATAAATTTGTTGTAAAAGCATCCAGTAATCTGTGGAAACAGAACAAAACAGAAAAGTTTTTTTTTAATGAAATTTTCGGAAAAAAGTTTTTTTTTGAAAAAATTCGATTTTTTTTTGCCAAAGTAATTCAAGTGTGAAAGTTTTGCGCTACTTGGACAGCCACAGCGACCGGCATTGGTTTTATGTGGCATTGGCTTTGTGATAATAAATTTTTTCATCGAAATTTTTTGTTGTTTCACAAAAAATTGTCGGCTAAATATTGTCTGCATTCGTTTTGTCGGCTTAGTTGCCATATTGTCGAATTGTTTTTTAAAACACTGTTTCCATTATAGTTGCTCTTAGTGTTTTGATCTACCTCTGCTGTTTCTAATTTTACTAACCTTGACCTCATATATAAATATATATATAAATATATTTCACTTTTTTATTCTGCTAAAATGATTTCGGCATATTTTTTATCGGCTTTGTGACCAAACTTTTGAGTCATTTCAACGGAAACATATTTTTATGCTCACCTCTGGATCGCACAAAATGCTTAAAATCTCAATAGAAATTATAGTTCTACTTTTTCATGACAACAATATTTTTCCGTTTTTTTTTTAGGTTTCAGCCTATATTCTATCGGATTATTGGACTCACATTGCGTCTTTTGACGCGCGAAAAAAGTCTGTGTGCGCGTGTCTGTTTTGAGGGCGAGGGTTGATTTATTAACTTTTGATGTCTTGTTGATTTTTTTCGCTTAAATGGTTTCTGACAAGGTATTTTCGGCTTTGTTACCGCTTGGTAGATTATTTTCCGATACTTAATTCACATTCTATGCTCTTGGCATATTTTTGTTTCAAAACTAGCCTAATTCATTTTGATAGATCTAGTTTTTTTGACTTTTTCTGTTTTTTTTTTCTTGTTCTGTATCGCAAGTGGTTCGAAGCTCAGCTTAGCCTCTGTGTGGAAATTTCAAAGCTAGTCAGATATCATGAATTTTTTTTAGAAATCTGCTAGATAACAGATACATCAGTCAATTGATTTAACAGGTTGCCGATATCATTTTTAGATAATGTTCCGGTTGCCAAGCTTCCCGGTAAATAATTGTATGACAATCTTCCATCACTTTCTTTGAACATCTACTCTGAAATGCTGTTAGATATCTTCGAATCTCTCAAATAACTGCATCATTTGTTGTTCTCTTCAATAGTTATGTTTTGCAAATTTTTTTCAATTTAGTTTCCTTCCAAATCAACATAACACCATTTTATTTACTGTCAACTAGTTGAAATCATGAATTTTGACTAGAAGTGTATGTGTTTTAAGAAACCAGGCATCTGAAACTACTGCTTTAGGCGTTGGACCAGGAGTTAGAAGCACTTCAAAATGGACCAGAAATGTTAACAGAAAGTCCGTGTAACATCACATCGAGCGAGGCTGTGAATTCAGAAGAGGTTTCATCAAGCGCAGCCGTCCGAATACACATAGAAAACGAGGACACGAACCAAGGAAGGCGATTATCGAGAACCTTAGTGCAAGATACGAAGGCAGCGAAACGATCCCAGTCCGCGTCTGCAAGATTAGCGAAAACTTTTCATAGACTCTTCCACGGTGGTTCGAGTTCGAGGACGGCGGCAGCACCGCCGAGGTCCCACCGAGAACACGCATCGGATAAAAGAACCAAAACTTTATCGTCGTCGGAAAAGACGGTGGAGTCAGGCTCGAGAAGCTCGAATCTGTTGAGTCCAACTTCAGACTCTTCCATAGACAAAAGCAAGAGGCTGTCGGACCAGACGCTAGGCTCCCTGAGAACATCTCCTGAATGAAGACAATAGAACAGGTATATTTTTGTGTAGAAACAGGCTATGCTCTCGCTTGACAGTGTTTTCATCAATCGCCACTCATCTCGAAAAATCAGGAATTCTTTGGTGGTGGCTTTCACAGAAGATGAACTCTGTGATTTGTTTCACCAGCTCTTGTTTGAGCAGTGTGTGTGGGGCGATATAAATGTCAAAGGTGAATTATAACCGAAACATAGACCATAACTTCACTTGTTTCAGGAAGTTACAACGGAGCTGCTAGTGTAGTGATACTTGGATGATATCGGTGCTGATCTTTTTAAGCTTCTAACTCGACATGACATGTGCACTCTACTGGCTTTAACTGGGGTCAAATATGATCTTTAATTAGAAGAAAATGACAAACATTGAATGAACGAGTAAATAAATAAAAGAGGACGGGTTGCACTCTTCTCCGGCAAGCGGCGTCTCTCGAAGTGCAATCGAAAAACCGAACGACATGGACCCCTCATACGTTTTGTACCTCCTAACAACTCACCAAGAATAAAAAACAGTTTTTTCAGTTATCCCCTAAACGAAAAAAGACAGAAAACTTAACATAATATATTTTTTAAAATGATAAGCTGTAAGCTTATTTTGAATTTAAGGGGTACAAAAGAAAAGACCGTAATTATGAAAGTATATCTATATTTTAGTGCTAAGTCAAAAATAACGTTGACTCTTGGCTATTTTCTCCACTCTCTTCTTGCTAAGCTCAGCTCGTGTTCAAATGTATAAGGGACCGGCATCGTCTCAAAATTGTGTCATCATTTCTAATCATTAATTTGAAAAAAATGTGATATTTAATTCCATGGCGGAAAAGAGAGGAGCGGAAAAAGCGCTGAATCATAATTGAGCTTCTCTAGAATGAAACCTCCTCAATTTAGTTTCCTCTTAAATGTATTATGTATCACTTCTACATTATGACGAGAAAGGATCCCAATTAAGAGGAATTAATAGGAGGAAACGTACTGAGCTAAGGTTCAATCCTTAAGTATGCTCTAATATAGCAAAATGTAAGAAATTATAAAATGATGCTGCATAGAATTGGCTATCGTAACAATTTTCGATTCAATGGTCCAAACAACCCAACTAGTAACTTCCAAGTTTCATGGAGAAGATTTAAATTAAATTGAACACATGGATTTACCTGGAGGTTAAGTTTCATGATTTCATGAAATGAGTTTTAGAGTTGGGTTACCAACGTCAAATGTGAATGGGTTTTAAACAAAAGTTTTGAATGCTGTTCGTTGCCTTTTCGAAGCTCTTAATGGTTGCGGTGGTTTCACCCTCAGAAGATTCTTCCACAGTTGTTGACTTGAATAAAAAATAACTGTGGAGAATAGTGGAGCCATTTACCTATTTATGAAATGAATTTAAATGTTTTGTATAGAAGAATAATTTGCAACTATTGGTACTTAAAATTAGATGTATCATTGTTGGTATATATTTTAGCTCAAATTATCTAAACTATGTTTATAATTTAGTTTGTCAAAAGTTTTTTTTTCCAATTTTGAAGTTGACTTCCTATAATCAACTAAATCAAGCGTTTTTTGGCAGAGTTAAAATTTTAGGCAGAGTTTAAATTTTGTCTGAGTAAAAAGATAAATAACCAGCAACAGTGGACAAATTATACCGCCGAGATAGTAGATCTAGAACAGCAAGCTCTTAGTAATTAAGCTGAAGTAACGAAAGGCGGAAGCCTGAAGATCAGTGCAACTATCAGTATAACAAATAGCCTATGATTGGCGGATTGACGAATATTGTCACACGGCACTGTTTGGTGATGTCCTCCACTATTTGGCGATGCTTTAATTAAAGATGCATTAATAGAAACCAGAAAAACTTCATCCAATGTAATTCGCTTTCAAATTCTTGAACTTCTGTCATCTTTTGAAAAAGCCAATAATGGTAAAGAAAATCGACAAGACAGTACTTGATCCAATAATTTTGATTTTTCGAGAAAATGTGGACTCGAATTGTTCTTATTTAACGGTTACGTCTTGAAAACGAGTCGACGTGATGTACGACATCCGAGGCTAGCAAGGAAGTGAAACTCAATATCACTTTTATAGTACGTGCCTTATGAAAAAAAGAGTCTTTTTTCTGTTAGCAAGGTAGCGATCGTAATGTAATGTTAGAAATCCACTCATTTCAAACCCAAGCCAAATGAAAGTATTCATCTTGGTAGCGCTTTTGCTGCACAGCATCGGCAATGAATTAGCATTGTTCTATCTGTTTTATTGGTGCTGATTATTTAAAAACTTGCAAGTGCTCATTGCGCAGATGCGAGAACGTGAGACCATCTACAGGATGGGTGTACGAAACCAGCACGGATAAACTAAATTTTCATTTTTCACGGTTTATTTTGCCCTTTTTTCCTGATTAAGAGTAATGAACGTACTCTTATATAGATTTTTGTGATTTTTTTGTTTTTTAATCACACTCAATTTTGATTTTTCGCGGTTTGACATTCTATCGACTTCTGATTTCGAAAATGGAAAATAAATATCAGAATTCCTAGCGAAATAATAGTGTCATCTATTAATCCAGTTTTCTCAAATTGGGTTAATTTTTGAAAAAAAAAATGGCCATCATAAATTGTTCTACAAATTCAAAGAGCTTTAAGGCGATCCATTTTTTTCTTCAAAAGTCAGAAGTTCACGATTTTTGAAAAAACAATGTTTTTTTTTCAGTTTCCTTGCATTCATAACTTTTTTTCAACTGTCAGTTGGCTATTATGTTTTTACTTGAGAGCGTAGTGTTTTAAAATGAACTTTCTTTTTTTTCAACGTAACTCGCTAATAAAGTTTTTCACTTGGTGGCTTTTCTGCTATCATCACGATCTGTTTCATTGGAAATTTCATAGTATCTTTTCTCTGCTTTATTTGTGGCTAATGTTTCTAAATTATTAAGAGTCCGTGGCTGAGTACTTAGTGCGTGAGACTCATAAATTCAAGTTCGCCGATCGAAGCACAGACATAGCCGAATTTTTACTAATTTGAGGCTTATTTCTACTTTTTGTTGTTGTGCCGACTTTCGTAACGAAAGTAACGGAATATTTGTGCTCGGGGTTAATTTTTTTTCTTCAGGCCAATTTCGACTTTTGAACTCTTTTATATCATTCGAAAGCTATTGTTGTCCTGAGCTTAAATATGTGAAGATGTTTCACCTGTGTTTATTTTTCGTAAAGTTATGGGGGTTTAAAGATTGCCAATTTGGGACATTTAGCGCGCGTGTGTTTCGCGCTATTAACGCGTAAGCGAGCTTTGATCCCTCTTAGAAATTGTTCCATTTTGGTTCGCAGATGCGTATAAGCCATAATTCATTTGTTAATAGGAACAAAATCTATCACATTATTCATGTTATTACTGCTCCATAGACCTTAAAAGGCAGTCGGAACTTTCATGGCTTCGCCCTGATACGAGCACTCTTGTTGCATTTCCCAAACAGTTGTATAGTGTTCCCGCTAGTGTTTTCGAAGCGCAGCTTCACCTCTGTTTATCATTTCTACATTTTTAAGGCTCTTTTTGCTGGGTACTAATATGATAGACATGTACCTAGCGTAAGATACCAGGAAGAAAGGTCCCAGGTTGCCATTTCACCTGATTCCGCAGGTAACAAGTTGATATCTAATTTGTCTTTAAAGCATTTCAAATATCTCGCAACTTAAAAGCATTTCAAATATCTCGCAAAACACATTGATGTACGAATTGATTGACATTAAAATAAAATGGCTAAAGCAAATTAATCGTTACAACTAACTTCATTATATCGAGAATATTAATTGGATCGAGTTAAAACTATTACAATTTTAATATATTCTTTCAACCGTTAGATTGTGAAAAATTTTCACGATTGATTTACCGAATAAATATACAAGCACAAGGTCCTGAAAATCTTTTTTCCCCTTACTTAACAGAATTCGAGCCTTGATTAATTTTTATCAAGAGTCCTGGATACTTTAAGGGACCCGACTCAGTATCGCCGTTTCCTTGCTTGTTTTTGCGAATGCAGCTTAGCATCTGTTTATAAAAATTAAGCTGCTGTCGTTGAATCGCTAAAACTATATGACGCTGTATCAGTTGAATTTGTTTCAATGCAAAAATTTTAAATATTTTATGTAACCCCGTACTTTTATGGGCTTTTTTTACTGTTAGTTTTCTTCAAAACTGTTTTCGTAATCATGAGCGATTTGAGTTTTTTCTTTCTTGGGCTGCCTTAAAAATTGTTTGCGCTCCGTTTTTTGTGGAGCGTTTTAACATACGTCTTTTCAAGATGTTGTTTGTTACGAATTAACGAAAAAACTTTGACAGCAACTTTTTTCAACCCACTTTGAAAAGTTGAGTCGAACTGTTATGCCTGATATGAATGTGTAACCATTATCCCGTTCCGTTTAAGTTCATTATTCGATTATTTATCCAATCATTTGCTAAAATTAATGATTTAAATTTTCGATACAATTATCATCAGTTGATGAACTTCAAAGAATTCATCAACATGCCGAATTTTCATCTCAACTTAATCATCCACAATCCTTTTGTAATTTAGTGTGTAATCAACAGCATAATAGATTAAGTAACAATTTGGTACGCATTGTTGCTTATTGTTCCCATACAATGTGAAAAATATAGTCCAACAATAGTGCAACGACACATACTCTGTATAACTTACAAGCAATCTGGCCTTAAACCAATAACTAGCACACTGTTTCAGAACACTGAGGAAGTTTTTGAGCCGAGCAATAAGCATGATGTGCTATCTAAACCTACAATTTGTAATTTTGAACAAAAACATCATGGTATATTGAGTCAAAGAATAAGACAGATTAATGAAAGCTGTGGACAAATTATACCGCCGAGATAGTAGATCTAGAACAGCAAGCTCTTAGTAATTAAGCTGAAGTAACGAAAGGCGGAAGCCTGAAGATCAGTGCAACTATCAGTATAACAAATAGCCTATGATTGTCGGATTGACGAAGATTGTCACACGGCACTGTTTGGTGATGTCCTCCACTATTTGGCGATGCTTTAATTAAAGATGCATTAATAGAAACCAGAAAAACTTTATCCAATATAATTCGCTTTCAAATTCTTGAACTTCTGTCATCTTTTGAAAAAGCGAATAATGGTAAAGAAAATCGACAAGACAGTACATGATCCAATAATTGTGATTTTTCGAGAAAATGTGGACTCGAATTGTTCTTATTTAACGGTTACGTCTTGAAAACGAGTCGACGTGATGTACGACATCCGAGGCTAGCAAGGAAGTGAAACTCAATATCACTTTTATAGTACGTGCCGTATGAAAAAAAAGGAGTCTTTTTTCTCTTAACAAGGTAGCGATCGTAATGTAATGTTAGAATTCTACTCATTTCGCACCCGTGGCAAATAAAAGTATTCATCTTGGTAGCGCTTTGCTGCACAGCATGGGCAATGAATTAGCATTGTTATATCGGTTTTATTGGTGCTGATTATTTAAAAACTTGCAAGTGCTCATTGCGCAGATGCGAGAACGTGAGACCATCTACAGAATGGGTGTACGAAACCAGCACGGATAAATTAAATTTTCATTTTTCACAGTTTATTTTGCCCTTTTTTCTTGATTAAGAGTAATGAACGTACTCTTATATAGATCTTTGTGATTTTTTTGTTTTTTAATCACACTCAATTTTGATTTTTCGCGGTTTGACATTCTATCGACTTCTGATTTCGAAAATGGAAAATAAATATCAGAATTGCTAGCGAAATAATAGTG